AGATCCTTCGCCCCGATGCTTAACGTTTTTTCCGGGAAATAAAATTTTTTCCAACGCAACCCTTCACCGTTAGCTCGCAAAAAGCGCGTGCACAGGGTCGGGATGCTTTCACTCGCGATGAACAGCGAGGGTACGCGAAGGATTATCCGAGGTTCTTGCGTGGCACGGAGCTTTTAAGGGCACTTAAAAAACTGCGGGCGCGGACAATCCAAAGCCCTGAATACTTTCTATTGCTGAAAGGACATGCGAAGAAAGGGTTGAAAAAGCCCAGGTAGCCAGTCGCTAATCTCTGTCCGGCCCCCGCGGACGCTTTTTTACCGGTCTAACTCGACGGGGTACCGTTTCTGCTTTTCCAACTCCATCCACGTAGATTTCACGGGAAAACGTGCTCGTGAAGGAACATTTTCGGGACATTTGGCAGGATCCTGAAGCTCCCCGTTTCAAGAATTCTTTTCAACGTTTCTATGCCTCGAAGCTTGGATAACGAGGTAGTAACTCTTAAATCGGAAATAAAATAATCGTTCGCTAGCATAAAGGATTCCACCGAGCTTATAGAAACATGGGAAAAGCTTGGCTGTTTCTTTGCAACGAAGAGATCTTCGAGCGCAAAGGGTTGGTATCGGTGAATTATTCGATAGGATGAATGCGACTCCGTGGTTGCTCTCGGAGTCCTGTGTTTGTTAAGTATCGGTGAGAACGAGGGTGGCATACGTAAATAGGAAGCACCGTTCGGGATGATCGAACGCATTTGGCAGGATCCATAAAAATACTCGTGGAGCGTGCAGGGTGTCATGGGGTTCGTAGCCACCCTCGCAGACTGCCGCCGTTCCTTCCCCATCGGCGCTCAAGCCCACCCCTTGCCAAATCAGAAATCTGCCGCTTCCATCTCGTTCGAGGAGCGATGGCTGATACCCGGTTGTGAGCTATCGTGGAAAAAGAACGAGTCCCGTTTCATCGATCGATCATTCCACGCTACGAAACGAGGCGGCCACGATGACTAACAACAATGGTGAGCAGTGAACGCAAGGACGGACATGGAGAAAAATGAGAGACTCGGATGCCTCGCGATTTGCGTGGGACGACCGGTAAATGGGACATACCTATCGAGGCTGAACACGTATGGCAGATGGCGTGGGAGTATGCGGGGCCCGAAGGGTGGGACTGAGGGGGGGGGCGAAAAGTAGCAGAAAATTAAGACGAGTTTGTCAGTACGTAAGTAAACAATATATTTATCATTATCGTTATTACTAAGGCACTTGTTACCGATATAAAAATGTACGTCACAAATTATTGCCAATGAGCATATTTAAATACTGATATTAAACAACTAATTGCTTCTCGTAGTATAATCTCAGATATTATGGATGCGTCACCCAAGGGGAGTTTGAAGACGTGTTTTCAGTTTCTGTTTCTGTTATTCGACTGGTATTAACAAACGCTTTTCGCTTCGTGAAATAACATTTTACTCCGTCGTTATATTGAAGGCACTTTGCAAGAGGTCTCCACCTCCATGCGATGCTCCCCCCGCCCCTGAACGTAACAACTAAATTGAGTTTAGACTAAAAGCAAGATACGGTATGGTAATATTAATATTATCGTTAACTAGCAATAAAAATAATACATTAAATGTATTTGACCTGACACGCCTGGAAGCTATCGCGTCGAGAGTAACGTAACGCATCGAGTTCGTGATCCTCGTTAGCGATGGTAACTTTCTTGGATCGCGTTCGAAGGCAGATGTTTGTATTTCGTACAAGCTTCACGTTACGGTCGAACATAATAACCATGAACAGAAAACATAGTAGACGTCGGTAAGAAAATAAAAGATTTTGTGCCTCTCGACGTAAATAAGACTGCGAGCGATTAACCTTTCGACGGTTTCGACATCAATTTCTCGAGCTACGATCGCCTTCTTCCGTTCCTTCGTATATATGTAACATCTTATTAATCATTCGCTTTAAAAATCATTATTACATCGTACCTGCGCTATAGAAACTTTCGATGCACCAACAATAACGCTTCGAGATAGAAATAGACGCTCGTAATTCGAGAAACGATGTATCGTATTGATATTTTAAAAGTTACACACGTACGATAAAATATTTATAAAACATTTTTATCCGATGATGATTGTTATGCGAATAACATGAACGTCAGGTCTACCGTGTTTTATGTTGCTACGCTTAATTACTATACAGCGATCGCTTTCCAAGTTTCAGTCGAATAATACAGATAGTAACACAAATATCGAATGAATATTACATGATCGTTTTATTACTTCATTAAAAAATAAAAAGAGGTCGAATACTTGCGCTACTCGCACTGCTAGCGTTGTAACAGTAAAAAGATAAAACTAAGCGTGCGAATAACTGTAAAATCAAAATCTGATTCGCGTCTCCGGAACTTTTCCTTACTCCGGGAAAAGACCGGAGAGCTTACGTTTCCGATTTTCTTTTTTCTCTCACTTGTCTCTCCTTTTTTTTTTTTCTTTTTTTCTTTTTTTCTCATTCTTTTCACTCGTAAATTTGTCAATGAAATTGCATGATCCTCGATGAACGACCGTGATTGGCAGACGTAACTGCGACGATTCGATAACAATGTAAATTCGATGATCAACAAGGAAACTTTAACAAAATAACATTTTGATTGTTTGAGAAAAATAAAACTGCTTTCTCCCTTGTCTCGTTCTTTTAAACGGCAAAAAGAAAAAATCGTAAAACATGGAATAGATCAGTCGGATAAAATTAGTGATTGCGTGATCGTTATCACTGGGGTACAGCACTTATCAACGTTATCGCCGCATTATTTCGAACTAACAAAAAAGAGTTACGTCAACCTCCGTCTTTTCTTTTCAACGTTACATTTTTTTTCCTTTTTCTCTTTTTTTATACGACATATGTATACACTTAAGCTGCCATGTAACTAAATATACGTGTACGCATGTTGTCTGCTCTTCACCGTGTCGCTTTGATTATCCGATAATAACCATTACTACAGGTTGGTTCGCGAGAAACAGACAAAGTACAAGATTAACGGCCTCTTTTTTTTCTTTCAACGTTCTTGTTCCCAAAGGCAAAGGGAAAGAAGGACGTGAAAAATCCTTAAGGCTAAAGATATTTAAAGGTAATCTATAAATATCATATACTCTCCTTTTGTAATCTCCATTATATAACTGTATGTAGTATAAAACGTAAGAGAATTTTACAATCTAACAGTGATTTCAAAATACCAATAACTGCAATTCGTAACAAGTATAGACTTTATATATAAAAAAAATATATATATTCATTTTGTGTTCCCCTCTTCAAAGTATTTAAAAGGGTCTAAAAACGTGTTTGTCTATTTTAACAATTACCACATGTTCACATAAACATCTCGTATGGACGGTTATTGCTTTAAAAGATGACGATCAATATCGTCGTTCTAATCGATTGCAAAGAAAAGGCACTTCGTTTAAGCATATCGCTTGTAAAATAGTCTGAGCATTATCGACACTCGATTGCAGTGTATATGTATCTCTCTCTATCTATGTATATATACATACGCATATATACACATACATATATAGATATATATATATATATACATATACATGTATATAAATATATATATATATACTTTGGACACACGATTCGAAGAAATCTGTTTCGAATCTGAATCATACACGTAACACGATTCGCTCCGTATGCCAACTTCAAAGTATAGACAAGTGTCCGTGTGTTAAAAATGCTTCGATACTTTTAGACGTTGCCGTTGCTTCCGTAAACATCGTATAAAGATCACCGCTATATGAATCGACGTATATCGAATAAAATATCGTTTATCGAACATCATACCCACTTTTTCCATTTTTTTCTTTATCTCTTCTACACGTAGGATTTTCGTAATAATTGCACTTATTTCGCATTTCGTTCCACGATTTTTCAACGTACATTGAAATCCCGTGAACACATCAGGTATGGTGTATCCTTCCTTTCTTTTTAAATTTAAATCACACGCGAGATCTATGATCGTGAAAATCTGATATGTCATGATATCAGATTTCTTTTGTAAACCAACGTGATATAAATATAATTAAACAACAATTTACTTGTCTACTCCATACTATCGGGAAGTATATCGAGCTTTCTTCGTTCATTACGCTCCTTCCTCCATCGACCCGAGCGGTACGCACATTAAATATTACCCATAATATTCAGTCCTCTCTCTCGCTCCCTCTCGTACAATGCTTTAGTATAGAAATACAAACTTATATACAAAATGTTGGGGACAAATGCACTCATACACGCATACAAACATACGAACACTCAAACACTCTAATAATAAGAGAGAAAGAGAAAGACCCGAATACGTTTTCATTTACATACAAGATGTTCTAAAAATCTCGAAACACGATACCAAAGATCCTACTCTTCGTTCAATTCCAACGGTTCGTTCATCCGCGTAACAGGTGGTAAAAAAGGGTGATTTGGAAAAAAAAAAAAAAAAAAAAAAAAAAA